GGCAAGGATTTTGGACTTCGCTAGGTTGGTCCCCTGTGCAAGGATTGGGGTTAGGGGGATGTCGTGGGCAAGGATTTTGGACTTCGCTAGGTTGGTCCCCTGTGCAAGGATTGGGGTTAGGAGGTTGTCGTGGGCAAGGATTTTGGACTTCGCAAGGTTGGTCCCCTATGCAAGGATTGGGGTTAGGAGGTTGTCGTGGGCAAGGATTTTGGGTAGTGTGTGGGCACTGGTGGACTAGCTGTGGCCCACAGCGTGGTTGGGAGTCACCACGATCTATTGCAAGTTGTGTGGGTAAAGGAAAAAAAAAACACAAAAAACAGACATGAATGGCTCATATGATTCACAGAGATAAATGACCTTACACCAAAGGTGAAAATTAGATTACTGTAAAACACAACACAGTACACTACAGAGCACATTTTTGCGCCAGTACAGAGTTAGACTCCATTAACTTCCTAGACAGATTCATTTAGCGGTTCCCACCCCCCTCCCCTGGCACAACCTCCTTGCTGGCACTCTACCTTGGTGCTCAGGGCAATTGATTGGGTGGGGCTCAAGCTGTGGACACAGAAAACACAATCTCAGGGAAAACACATTCTGCGTGCAGGACATACCTTCATATACCACCAAGGGGTCCCAAAGTGAGCTCAATAAACTCAAGTCACATTTAAAACCAAATTAATTTGTATGAATATTTTCCAAAAACACCACTGGTAAATTTCATGTCGTGTATGTTATAAATCAAAATATAACAGTTCCTTGTCTGTGACCAGAGTCTTCTTGGTTACTTTAAGAGTCCTAGACCTGGAGACCAAAAATTCCCATCAGTAGTCATTTGCTGGTGATGAGAATCCTGTGGCAAAAGCAATATTGACTTAAATGTCCATAAAATAAGTTAGTTGGACCTTTTCCTGAGCTGAATGAAACTGGCCATAAGTTTCATAGTAAAATGCAGCTTTTGCACAAAAGGGATTGGAAAAGAGAAAACAATGAAGCAGAATCACTTTCGATTTCTTAGACAAAAACAGCATAGCTAATGATGAGTTATCAGCTTACCTTCCTTTGATCGTCATTCTCTCCTTCTTCACCTTTGAGGTTTAAATGGGAAAGAAACATTATGGCTCCAGGGAAAGGCTTGTGTGTTAGACTTACATTTTGTTTGTCAAATTACTGTCTTTACTCAGGGAAAATTTTAATAAATGAAAGACAAGTACATGAAATATGGAAGATCTGCATGTGACTGAAATCATCAAATGTTACCATCAGAGAACCTGAGTTGTGACCCCGCACCATACTCACCTGAACCTGTTGCTGTTTTAACTTCAGGATAGCAGCGGTTCTGGGGGGGCCTGTAGTCCTGGCAGGTCACTTCCCCACTGCTGCAGATACATGACCTGCGCCTATCTTGTGGGTCTTGGAAGTGCTCTGAGTGTCTATATATGCGTCCCACATAAAGGCATTCATCTAGGGGTACAAGAGGCACTGGTGAGTATGCCTGGAACCATTAGACCGATGTTTCCCAATGTGGTTCCCAGAGACCCACAAACAGTCCATGTTTTTCCTCCCTCTCAGCTCCCTGCCAGACATGTCCACATTTTTGAGCAAAAATATGGACCATTTGTGGGTCCCCAAGAACCACGTTGGCAAACAGTGGTCTATGGTACAATACAGCGTTTGTCAGGTCCACTGTTGGGGGCTGCCGTAGACCAAATATATTTAAGCTTGTAAACATTGTTCTATAAACAGGAAATAAGAGCTCTGACTCTGTAAAGGGAAGGACCAAATGGATTAATGCAGTGGTTCCCAAACTGGGGGGCGCAGAAGTATTGTGGGGGGGTGCACCAATGGGATTGCCTCAGGGGCATATGCCACCCTAAAATAATCTTTTCACAGACTGGACGATTAAACAAATAAAGCAGCGCAACATTACAGTAACTAACAATAAATAAACCACTAACTTACGTGTACTATTAGAGCATTTATGTAATTTATTTAAACTTTATTTTACCAGGTAAATTAACTGAAAACCAGTTCTTACTGCTTTACGTGATATTCGGGAGAAATAGCAGATAACGCATCGGAACTTCCTGGGATACAAACGACACGTTCTTCAGCCAATAAGGGCAAAGTCATCACGGAGGCTGTTCCAGTTTGTTCAGCCGGCTGAGAGGTGCTGTACCATCTGTCTTAAGTCGTCTTGCTCCTGCAAGGTTTTTGTACCATGTGACATGGTGACGCGTGACGACGTTTTGCAGCGCCGGACAAAAAAATCTAACCATATCATGAAAAACGAGGTTTAAAATTTTCTAGATGAAGTGCAGGGAGACTATCAATTAATGGGTATGATTTAGTGTTGTTTTGTGCTATGGTATAGGCAGAAACCTGTGGTTATCATTAAAAACAAAATGCGGTAAACGTAAGACAAACTTTAATTTGTGTACGCCAATGAATATTAACAGGAATGTTAAATCTGCACTTGTATAATTTCAAACTTATGCTGGACTTTTATTTTTAATTGATTGCTCTTTTTTGTCCCACAGTGGTGAAATGGCACCATTTGTATTTTGTAATTACATTTATTTCGCTCAATTAGAAAAGGGAGTTGTACTGTATTTCAAATAAAGTTTGAATCTGAACCTGTGTAGTTTGAATGGGGGGGGCTCAATAATGTTCCTATCTAGAAAAGGGGGGCCCTGCAGAGAAAGTTTGGGAACCACTGGATTAACGCATTCCACATGGAGGGAGGAGGATGAGCAACGCTTAACATCCTCCTAAAGAGGTACTCTCAGGCTGAAGGTTGACATGTAGACAGACATGAAGGCTTTCCAGAGAAAAACTGGACTGAAAGGTCTTCATCATTACTTGTCTCACAACCCCATGGCAAAACTCATAACTTCATTACATTACATTCATTACTTCAAAATGCAAGATATATACACACATCCTGGTACTATGATAGTGGTTACAACTGGGTAAGTTAACTTGGGCTTTGTCTGTGCGTCTTCACAAGAAAGGGGTGGTGTCGGCACTGTAAACTAATGATTCAAAGAGTTGGCCTTTAATAGGCTAACTTTATCATCATCACTCACCAGTTACACCAGTTTTAATCTGAAAGCCTTTACTTAAATCAGCTCGAAGCAGGTTAGGCATGCAGTGTAAATTACCAATACCAAAACAACTTGATTTAACATGATTATGATTCGTAGTACTCCAAACATGGAAGTAAGCCTTAAGAAACCTCAGTAAGCCAGTAAACCTGCTTAATTATACACTCCTCTGGACATGATGACAGAGTGTAATCCCCAGAAAAGGGTGTTATTTTTGTGTCATTTGTTTTCAGCCTTCAACAGAACCCTACAAAACATTCCAACTGAAGTTCCACACCAGAACATCGAGGGTGGCACTCTCCAGGAACCAGATGAGGGTCGCTGCACTGAGATGGGGGACGGGTCGTCATCAAGCATTGGACATGGCCATTCTGCAACAAAAACAAGGCGTCAAACTCTTAGGATGACCACTGTAAACAATACTGTACCTTTTCACAGAAATCCATTCTAAACACCACACCCACTACATTAAACATGTTGGAAGTTTGTAGCCTGTATCTTAAAGTGTTACTCATGGACCAAGTGATCTGCTGAAATTTTCTTGACAGTAACTCACAACACAGCGGCATGTCTTGCATTTGTTGGTAGGGTGGACAAACTCCATTCCATTGACGTACTGTTCCCCGGCATAGTAGCAATCTGAAATGTAGAAACACTTCTGTCGATGTTGTTGACATAGGTGCCCACTATTGGGCTGACTGTGGTTTACTATAGTATGAAATAAGATCATTGACCAGAAAGGTGTTTCGATAGCATGTGTGGACATGCGAGGTGCCATTTTAGGAGGCCGTATCCAAGGTTTGTAGTTACCGTTGCGGTTGTCCTGGCAATAGGATGTACGCTGGGGGTGGTTACAATGGGACTGAGGGTACTGGTGGTACTCGCAGGTCACCTCACCCCTCAAACAAGTGCACTGTTGACATGGGTCCCTTGGGTTGGGAAACTGGTGACCATCGAGGTACACAGCATTCTCGAAGGTGCATTCTGGACCAGGACGAGGAAACACACAGGGAGTTGAGCATCAGCATTACTAGAGAATGGAAAAACACTAAAAGTGACACGGGCACAATTGAATCATATTTTTTCTAGCGTGTCCACCCCCAGCGATAAACACAAATCGGAAATATCAAAATTACTGTCACTGGGAAAACAGGATTTTTTTTTATTCAATCAGGCACAAGCAACAGCTTGAATATGCAAATACAAGGTATACAATTTAAAAGTTATTAATCATGGATGATATTTACAAGAGGGTGGTGATCATGGTCAAGTAATTGGTTAGTTGGGGGCAAGTTACTAAAATTGATGGGTAACCTGGTGATCAAGTTATGGAGACCATGGTACTTTTTCCTATAATTGTGTTTAACAATTCATACATAGATTCATACATGAATTATGAACAACCACTCTCTTCACCACAACAGAACGATACAGCATCTGCATTATCTAGTTGGCAATCCACCATTTTCCGGTCAAGAACCATGGCCTCAGACTTGGAGGTGCTGGTCCGTATCCCACCTCATACTCAGCTGTAAACCGCCCCAGTGCATGCTGCAGGTCACCAGCCAACAATGCCAACAGGACTACGTCATCCTCAAAAAGCAAAGACACGATCCCGAGGACCCCAAACCAGACCCCCTCCACCCCTTGGCTATGCCTAGACATTCAGTCCATAAAAACTACGAATTATGATCTGTGACAAAGGGCAGCCATGACGGAGTCCTACACCTACTGAGAACGAGTCTGACTTACTGCTGGCAATGCGAACCAAGCTCTTGTTCCGTTTGTATAGGGCTGATGGCCCACAACAATGGACCCTGTACCCGATACTCCTGAAGCACCTCACACAGGACTCCCCAGAGGGACATGGCTTTTCCAAGTCCACAAACCACATGTAGACTGGTCAGGCAAACTCCCATGAACCCTCCAGCATCATTGTGAGGGTGATGAACTGGTCCAGTGTTCCGCGGCCATGATGGAATCCGCATAGTTCCTACTGAATTCGAGGTTCCACCAACAAATGGACCCTCCTCTCCAGTGCCCCAGCATAGACATTCCCAGGGAGGCTGAGGAGTGTGATCCCCTTGTAGTTGGGACACATTCCCCAGTCCCCTTTCTTCATACATAGATGCATTAGAAAAAACAAAGATGTAACTTCCATTGATTTATTATTACATAAGAATATATGAAATTTACAAACGAGAGGGGGCCATTCGGCCCATCAAGCTCATTTGGGGAGAACTTAACTAATAGCTCAGAGTTGTTAAAATCTTATCTAGTTCTGATTTAAAGGAACCCAGGGTTTTAGCTTCCACTACACTAGCAGGAAGACTATTCCATACTCTAACTACACGCTGTGTAATGAAGTGCTTCCTCAAATTTGTTTTAAAATGTTCTCCCACTAATTTCCACTTATGGCCACGAGTTCTAGTATTTAAACTAATATTGAAATAGCCATTTGGCTAAACCGCATCCAGACCCGTTAGAATCCTATAGACCTGGATCATGTCCCCCCTTAGTCTCCTTTGCTCAAGGCTAAACAGATTCAGCTCAGCTAACCTCTCCTCATAAGACATTCCTCTATGACCAGGAATCATTCTCGTAGCCCTATGTTGCACCTTTTCTAAGGCAGCAATGTCCTTCTTAAGGTATGGTGACCAAACCTACACACAATATTCTAGGTGGGGTCTTACCAAGGATTTGTATAATCTTAACCTTTGACTTAAACTCCACACACCTAGAGATATAACCCACCATTCTATTGGCCTTTTTTATTGCTTCCCCACACTGGCGAGAGTGGGACATGGAAGCATCAACATACACACCGAGGTCTTTCTCATAATCAGCTACCTTTATTTCAGTGGAACCCATAAAATATCTGCACTTTATATTTCTGCTCCCTGCATGGATTACCTTACATTTATCTGTGTTAAATTTCATCTGCCAAGTATCAGCCCAGTCGCTAATTAAATCCAGATCGCGTTGTAGCCTCTCTGCTGCTAGATCAGTATCTGCTACACCACCCACCTTGGTGTTGTCTGCAAATTTAACCAGTTTACTGTATGTATTGGTGTCAATATCGTTAATGTAAATTAGGAACAATAATGGTCCTAAAATTGAACCCTGCGGTACCCCACTATGAACGCAGGCCCACTGTGACATTGTGCCTCTAATAGCTACTCGCTGCTTTCTGTCAGTTAACCAGTTTTCAATCCAAGCTGCCACAGTTCCTAAAATCCCTGCAGCTTTTCATTGCTTAATAAGTGCAAAAATAAATCTTTGACTTGCATTAAGGACCCTTGACAAACTGACACTGTTGATGCCATACATCGAATAGTTGAATAATCAAACAAACACTTTAGCTACCATTTGTCCTATTTTAGGAAATCAATTAAATATGTTGATCATGCTACAGATTCACTGGTATTAAAATAACATATTGTGAACCAGTAGGTATTAACATATATGGGCTTCCTGGACTTGGTACAGGGAAGTATTTGACTTTCAAAAAGCCTTGGCTAATTCTCCAGCCTAAGCTGGCAGAAAGGTCAGTGGCTGAGAACAATGACTAAATCATCACAGCACTGAAATCAAATCAAGTGGAGAAATCGCCCTTTTGAAGAGAGAATCCTTCTCTTGCTGTGCTCCAGCAGCGAGGTTAGGGACCACCGAGGCAGCAGTCTTAATCAGTCTTGATGGCTTTTTTAAGCAAAGCATAAATGGTTTAATAACATACAGGATGTACTCAATGGGAATTTTCTTCATGCATGCTAAAGACGTAACAAACCTCCATCAAGTTGGCCTCTTTTGTAAATGGGAATGTAGGCATTTATGACTGGTTTTCTTAAAACACCTAAGAACCAGAATAAGTGCAGCAGATCCAATACAAAGCCATGAGGATATCGGATGATTTTTTTTTCCCCCCACCCACTGCTTGGGGTGGGCTGAAGGACCCATTAACTGGGCTGGCTTTCAGGCCTCGTGCCCTTGGTCACTCATAAATTGAGACTTTTCCATTTTATAGAGGAATGGACACTGTAGGAACAGGATGTGCAGCGTCCCACTTCTTGAGAACAGCCTGGTCCGTCTGATCCTAGTGATTACAGCCGCTCAGCTGAGCTCTGTCATTTACATAGTAAGAAGTTCAACTAGCCACTGCCTTTTCTACATACTGGCATAAATCCTCTTTAACTACAAATGCAAGTGTCCCACATGTCATTATGAGCTTCATAACACCCTTCCCTCCTAGTACCCATTTCGACCATGCTGTATAAGACACCAGACATCAAGCAGATAGTGTCGAGCCTGTAAATCTTGTTCACATGGCTCAGTTCTCCTCCCAAGCATGGTTCCATATCGCAGGGAAATGAACATCCTCTGGTTTATACAGCCAAGCGGCTGCACCATCAGCTTCAGGGTTGTACACACAACTACAACAATCCTGGTAACCATTAGACACACCACACTGGACAGGAGAAGATTCCAGTTCATGAATAAGTGCAATGGAAGCGAAGATGATTGTTAATTATGTATGCATTACCAGTGATTCACGTGTGTTGGCTCCACAAGCTTCACTGATTTGATTTATTTCCCACACAGTCTCCAACAAGACAATTGGAAGACTTGTGCTCCACCCTTGTTACTGGCTAGGTTGACGGGCATACCTGAACACCTGGGACAGCACTCTCCTGGTGGCGTATAAGGATTGGAGCATCTCACATCCAAGCAGGCCACTGCCCTGCAAATCACTTTGCCAGTCTGCAGGGTAGATGGACTTGTTGAACCAAAGATACACAGAGCACCCACTACCAAATGGACCCTTCCTTTCCTTGTTTACACAAATTGCAATGCCGCTAAACTGTACTAGCATATCCAGCCACAAGAGGGAGTACACTACACAGAGAACTTAAGAAATAAATTATTTCCCATAGTCCACCTTTGTCCGCTTGAAAATCCCTTTGTCTAGACAGTTTTGACATGCAAAGAAATAGAAACATTTGCAAGGCATAGAAGTTACTGCTGTCCTTACCTGACAGACGCAAGACTTGCAGTGGTCTTTGGGGTCACTGAATGTCTCCTCATTTTTGTAGCTGCGTCCATTGTAGCAGCACGTGTTGGCACATTCATCTGTGGGGATGCAGTTACGGTCAGGAAGGCGATGGCTGCCCAGCGGGCAGCATGGCATCACAGACACACCTACCATCCCCCCGGCAGACTTTCTGGCAGGATATCTGGGGGCACATGACCTCATGGCACTGGGCCTCCCCGTGCAGACATGTGCAGCTCCTGCATGACTGCTGATCCACCGTCCAGATGGAGCCTTCCTCACGCATCACGCCGTCCACCATGCAGCCTGCGCAGGAAGGAGGTGCAGGGAAACATGCCTGTTGTTATGTATTGTCCAGTATATTGGGGTATTTATAACACAAAAAAGAAGTTCATACGTTTCTCACAAAGCCGTCAAGGAATGATTTAAACGGCAAGGACGAAAATGATTATGATGTCTCAGTGAACGCATGCAGCGCTCACAAAGCAGCAGAGGTAAACTTTAAATGGATTTTTAAATGCATATTAGACAAAAGGGAGCGGGAGATCAACAGGCGGATTGGTGCGGCGTCTGCAGTGATGCGGGCGCTGCATCGGTCTGTCATGGTGAAGAAGGAGCTGAGCCAAAAGGCAAAGCTCTCGATTTACCAGTCGATCTACGTCCCTACCCTCACCTATGGTTATGAGCTGTGGGTAGTGACCGAAAGAACGAGATCGCGAGTGCAAGCGGCCGAAATGGGTTTCCTCCGCAGGGTGGCTGGGCTCTCCCTTAGAGATAGGGTGAGAAGCTTGGTCATTCGGGAGGGACTCAGAGTAGAGTTGCTGCTCCTCCGCATCGAGAGGAGCCAGATGAGGTGGCCCCAGGGAAGACCCAGGACACGCTGGAGAGACTGTCTCCCGGCTGGCCTAGGAACGCCTCGGGATTCCCCCGGAGGAACTGGATGAAGTGGCCGGGGAGAGGGAAGTCTGGGTTTCCCTGCTTAGACTGCTGCCCCCGCGACCCGACCCGGAAAAGTGGTAGATAATGGATGGATGGATGGATATTAGATAAAAGGAATAATAATTAAAACTGAAAGCTGGCTAAGAATTTTTTTTCTATGACGGTAAAAATGTTTTAGTGGAACTTAAATCCCTGCATTATAATGTCAGTACAGAATTGAAAGGAAGAAAAAGCCTGATCTTTAATCTAGCAATGTAAGAATTGCATGTGCATAATATGTGATATTGGTATGAATATTATCGTCCAGCCCATATCATATACTGTAGCCATTTTTCGAGTTCAGTACAAAACACCCTGCCTCGCGTTATATCGTGTGATATCATTCAGCTCTGGTACCAGTTTTTACGCCAGTGGAAAACAAACACTTGGAAAGTACCAAAAGTTCAGCACCTGGTGTGGTGGAAAAGCACCCCAAGACTATCAACATGTACACTGCTGAGAGTACAAAGCATGCAATGAGTCAAAAGCAAATTTATGGAAACCTCTGAAGCCAGGCAACACTCTTTAGGAATACCGGGCTCCTCACCCTATCTCTAAGGCTGACCCCAGCCACCATGCGGAGGAAGCCCATTTTGGCCGCTTGTGTCCGCGATCTCATTCTTTCGGTCACTACTCAGAGCTCATGACAATAGGTGAGGGTAGGAACGTAGATTGACCAGTAAATTGAGGGCTTAGCCTTCTGCCTTAGCTCCCTCTTCGCCAAAACAGAACGGTGAAGCGTCGGCAGTAATGCAGATCCATCTGTTGACCTCCCGCTCCACAAGACCCTGAGATATTTACACTCCTCCGCTTGTGGCAGTAACTCATCCTCCACCAGAAGAAGACAATCCACCCTTTTCTAGTCAAGAACTATGGCCTCAGACTTGGAGGTGCTGATCCTCATCCCAGCCGCCTCATGCTCAGCTGCAAACCGCCCCAGTGGATGCTGCAGTTCACAACCTGATGATGCCAACGGGACCACACCATCCTCAGAAAGCAAAGGCGATCCTGATGCCAACCAAACTCTCACTCTGATTGTATAGGGATCTGATGGCTCGCACCAATGCACCCTGTATCCCATGCTCCTGAAGCACCCCCCCACAGGACCCCCTAAGGGTCACGGTCGTATGCCTTTTCCAAGTCCACAAAACACATGTTGCCTGGTTGGGCAAGCTCCCATAAACCCTCCAGTATCCTTGTGAGGGTGAAGAGATGATCCAGTGTTCCACAACCAGAATGGAATCCGCATTGTTCCTCCTGGATCTGAGGTTCGACCAACAGACGGACCCTCCTCTCCAGTACCCTGGCATAGACCTTCCCAGGAAAGCTGAGGAGTGTGATCCCCCCTAAAGTTGGAACACATCCTCCAGTCCCCTTTCTTAAAGACTGGGACCCCCACCCCAGTCTGCCAGTCCAAAGGCACTGTCCCCAACCTCCATGCAATGTTGAAGATGCGTGTCAGCCAAAGCAACCCAAAGAACATCAAGAGCTTTCAAGAACTCACGGCGAATCTCATCCACCCCCGGAGCCCTACCAACAAGTAGCTGTTTGGCTGCTTCAGCGACCTCAGCCCCAGAGATGGGCAAGTCCTCCTCTGAGTCTTCCAGCTCTACTACCTCCGAGGAAGGTGTATCAGTGGGATTTTGGAGATTCTCGAAATATTCCTTCCACCACTTGACTATATCCCCAGTTGAGGTCGATAGTCCTCCAATCCTGATATAAACAGTACTGATGAAGTTTTTTACTGAAGTAAATGGTTGTAGTATATTATATGACTGGACAATGTCATATCAGTACCAACAACGCATGTCACGCACAAGCAATTCTTACATCACTAGTAAACTCGATTAAGCTCAGGCTTTTGCTTACTTCAGTTCAATACAGACATTATAATGTAGGGAGTTTTTGTTTCGCTAAAACATTTTTACTCTGTCATAGGGAAAGAAAATTTGCAAGTGTTGCAATTTTAATGATTATTCTTTTTCAAGATTATGTGTTTAAAAAAGCACGTTAAAGTTTACCTCCACCACCTTTGCATTGCGCTGCATATGTTCTCCGAGACAATCATAATCATTTTCACCGTTGACATTTAAATCACTCCTAGATGGGTTCGTGAGAAATTTATAAATTTCTTTTTTGTTTAATAAATACCTCAATTTTTATTACAATAAAATCACACTGCAATACTTGAATTTTTTTCAATTCCTACTGCCCTAGTATACACTCACCTAAAGGATTATTAGGAACACCTGTTCAATTTCTCAATAATGCAATTATCTAATCAACCAATCACATGGCAGTTGCTTCAATGCATTT